TCATGGTGTTACATCAGACAAGTTGTCAGCTTTTTGTTTATTCATTGAATCCCCAATCCCCAACGTGCCGCAAATACACTCACACAAACACATCTCTTATGACAACCACTACGTACAGATCTCTGGTACAACACACGGGAAGATGAGGTTTGGTGGACGAAAGCATGGCCATGCTTTGCTTCACTAGAATGGCTTTTGAACAAAGTCTGGCTTGCAATAGAAGTGGCAGATGAGTGATAGCGAAAAACACTTTTCTGATAAGATAAGGTCCTGGACCTGGATAAGAGTTTGGCTTCCTAAATAGGAGAGGTGTACTCTGTTGCTGTCAGGCAGTGATAAGCCATCTTGAACTGCTTCCAAGACCTCAGACACGAAGGTCCGGGCGCCAGCAGTAGGTTATTCCCAAACCATGGTCCCTGAAAGGTTTTAGGTGGGTGTACTGGGTTAAAAAACAATAAAATCACAAATGCCTCTTTTATGTTTAAGAGTGGACTTGAGGCAAGACCTGCTAACAAATGTTAAATTCTCTGATTAAAAAAAAGTAAGTAGATAAGTAATCATGTAACCAAACTTTATTCACTGATGTTATCATTGTACTTAATGGATTACAAAGTGCTTCACAATACAGAGAAAGACGGGGCGTCTCAGGACAGTCATCATTATTGTCATCCAAGTGAAATAACTTCACAGAACATCTTAGGAATCTATAGTTTTACACCTAATCAGCCACTATGAAAATTCTGAAAATACATCAATGTGTAGCGCAGGCGGTTTTGGAAAGAAATCGCAACATTTCAAAACGACAAGACAGGTGTGTCTGGGTTTGAGAGGAGCAGAATGACTTTGCTGAGCACTGCTTATAGATTTGTAATGGTCTTTTCTGTCAAAATTATTTGAACAGATTGAGGATTTTCTCCACCAAATGTAAAACCAAACATCCGAACTTCAGCCCTAATACATTTTTTTTCAAGGACCCCCTTGAAAATGAGATTCAAAATCTCATCCTTATCCTGGCTAAATAAAGGTTAAATAAATAAAAACATCTAACATGATAATTAATTATATGTTTTTTTGTCTGTCTCTTTCATTCCTGGCATAAATACATAATAGGCGTTAGGCTTTTCTCTAATTCCATTACCAAACTCTCACATATATTTTTGTATGCAAAGAATTTAATTGGAATCATTCTTTTCAAATTAATCATATTATTTAGCATTTCAAATTTAGAGACAGTATTTTCCGCCATATGTATTATAGTCCAAAGGGAAACAATGTCATCAGGAAAATTAATGACTTACTCTCCTAAAAATATATTCATATATCTTGCTAATTCTCAAATACATCAATTGCATAAATCAAAACATTCTTCGGGGGTTTTGAAAGCTGTGCCGCCGCATACAGCAATGGCCTGTTCCCAGCATTAACGATCTTATTTGAACAGGAGTATTTACTCTGGGAAACGGTGCTATAAATGAACATAGAGGAAGTGGTGCACAAAGAGTAGTTCAGACTGGCTGAGAGGAAACTGAGACCTGCGTGTGAAGGGGGGATTTTTAGTGGTTACATTTGCAAAAAAAAGAAACACTCATTTGTATAGAGCTGTTTATTTACTGTATCATTCCTTGATACATTGAACTTGTCAGGCAACACTTTTTTATTTTATTCTTAAAAAGTTTTTGTCTACTGCAGCTTGAGGCTGGATTTATATCTTACTCGTAAATATGGCTATGGCACATTTTTTTGCCATCCCCTATAGGAGCTCTCCAAATGAGGTTGTTTTGTTCCATATAGAAGGCATTTAAAAAGAGCAAGAGGGAGGGGGGTAGGGACAGAACTCCCAGAGAGGGACAGGCCTTAAGATGGAGGTCTTCCTCCCAGGACGTGACAGGCTGTTGGCTGGAGGATGCTCAGGAAGGCCTTGGCAGACCAACAAAGACAGCCCTTCAGCTGCAGGGTGTAGTTTTTCAGGCCCCAGCATCCCCTTTGGCAGCAGCACAGAGAGTGCTGGCGTGCACAGGCCCCCGGCCCGAGAGACAGGGAAGTAAGGCCCGCTCTTTTATTTACTCAGGCTGCTGCTGAGGCCTGGGCATTTCTTGTCTGGGTGAAGAAGGGGGAAAAAAACAAGTCTCTCTCTCTCTCTCTGTTTCCTCTTGGGGTCTCCTGAGGAAGATTGGTCTTTCATCTACAGTTGTTCACACACTTGTTTCGGCCATTGCGCTTGTATCTGTGTATTCTATGTGTACATGTATGTCTGCACATAGTTTGCTACTGTGAGTGAGTGTGCAGTGTGTGCACCCTTGCTTTCTGTGTGTATGTCACTGAGTGTGTGTGTGTCTGTGTGTGTGTGAGAAAGTGTAAAACTATAGTAAGTCTCACTATGAAGGTCATTTGTACTCAAAATGTACAGTTTCAGCATTGAATACTCTAAAGTAGATTTTAGAGCATTTTGATGGCCATAACAGTAGGACAAAAAGATTAACACTCATAATCATAATTTCTGTTTATTTTGAATATTTAATATCAAGTTGCTGGTGGACAAAATATGATATAAATATTAAATAACAATTCTTTAAGTTTATATCTATGTATTTACTTGTTACATTCAGTTTTGCAAAGTTAGGAAAGCAATGTTTACGTCATGCCTGATGTTGTGCCTTACACATAAAAGAACGATCCCAGTCACATCCACACATTAAGGCATTCAGCTTATTAATTAAACACTGGTATCCAATCGGTACCCAAAGGCTATGGTATCGGTATTGGAACTGACAAATCTCGATCAGTGCATCCCCTAGTATGATGACACCTTGAATAGTGTTAATAGGTGTAACTTGGAGACCAATTGATTACATCATTACTCTGTAATATTAATTTGATGGTGTTATTTTAGTATACAGCAGCCTCTGTAATATTTCAAAAACCTAATATCAACATAGCCATTTGCCCATCTAAGCATGTTAGCTGATAGCTGAACTCAAGCAATGCTTTTCGACTCCCACATGTCCCCTACAGATACGGCTTTATGTATGTATGTGTTATTGAAGCTAAGGCACTAAATAAATAATCTACATCCAGTAAGCAAACAAAAAAAATGCAAGGAAGTTGTCCTGACAGCTTAGTAATGTCTTAAGGCAAAGACATCCTCATTTAAGACAGTAGAATTTAATTTAGCCTTGTATACGGCCCCATTTATTTGTTTGTTTTATACTATTCTCTCCAAGCCAATATGTTTGACTGTAAGGCATCGGCTGGGGTCATTCTTCTTGCACTGTCTTCTCCTCCTATACCCTGGGAGGCAGTATGAGTGAGGGCAGATCCGCCCCCTCTGTGGAGGAGGGCATAGCACTGAGTCACCCATCCTCCCTCACACCAGAGAGAGAGAGAGAGAAAACATTGAGACATGTTTGAGAGATAAAGCAAGTAAATCAGGCAAGGTTCGCTCCTTGAGTGAGATGTGTGTGCAGAGTGGGCGCCTTGCCAGGGGTGGGAGGTTTCCGGGAGGGCCACGATGTGGAGGTGGGCTCTCAATGTGCTGCTTTCAGCAGTTTGGAGGGGCAAGGGAATGGCCTCCGACCCCATCTGTTTCCTGAAGATAGGCCCTGATGGGGGTAAGTGCTCAAAGAGGGCATGATATCCTGACAAAGGGCAGATCGCCCAACAAAAACAACAGTAAGGGGAGAGAGAGAGACTAAGATGTGTCAGCTGAAGGAGAGAACAGAGGTTGGATCCTGGAAAGAGCTTGTGCTTTTCCTTCGCCCCACTCATAAATCTTTGCAGTTTCCTCTTGTTTTTCCCATTCCAAGTTTTGGCCTTTTGACACAGTTTTTTTTTTTTTTCTGAAGGGTTTGGGATTACTTTGTTTTATTTAGGTAAGGAAGTTCACAGCACTTAGAATTCTGCAGCGGGAACAAGTGGTCTGTAACCTTTTGAACTTGTGGAAAGTGGTGTCCCGTGTTTTCCATTCATATCGCTGTACAGTGAACCAGGGGAATGGAATGTTGGCATAGAAGCGATTTGTAAAGGGACACATTAAAGTGTTTGTAAAACAAATGGGGGCTGCATTGTCAGTTGTCTGGTGTTCCCTCGTCATTCTCTGCACCTGCTTGTCCTTGAGTGAGATAGTTGGCCACTCGGTTGTCTTCCACTATATCCGTTTCCCTGTCCCCTCCTTGTCCCCCTCTGCATCAGCACATGGCACATTCATCCATCCTGTATCAGTTGCCTCACAGCTTAGCGCAGACCCCACAGACAAATATGATAATAATGCATATTCTTTAATCTGATATCTATTGACTGATGTTCTGAAAGACCCATGTTTCATGAAAATCATCTGTTTTGCAGCCGAGGCTTCCTAAAGGCTATGCATATCTGTGGTCTAAATTGCACATTTAATCTTTTCTTTCACTCTTGAGAACTGCTTTTCCCTGCTTTTTCCCCCCTCTTGTCTTAAGGTCATTTCAAGGGCTCTTGTGTTTTAAAAATATTCGAGTAATTGTTCAGAGAATAATAGAAATGTTCTAATTTACCTCATGCCGGGTTTACATCCTAAAGTACACCCATTGTCCTGTGTTGGCTTTAAATGTCAGAGAGATTGGGGTTTTGAGTCACAGTGGGCTAAGCCATTACATGGCCACATACAAGGTTAATTGTGGTGAAAGTATTTCCACTTATTCTCTTCTCTAATTATACTTTAAATTGCATATTTAAGTGTAACTTTTTAGATAACACCTAGGGAGAGGTATTGTTTCCGCTGAAGAAAAGATTGTCTAAGTTGCAAAGAATTCTAAATTCATACACCACAACCATATTATTACTATGACAAATAACAGCATGGCAGCAGATCTTTTCTATTCAAAAGAGTGAGACAAATGACTTGCTAATACAGTCTTACAAAACACCTCTCTTACTCACTCTCTCCTTCTCTCTCCATCTTTTTCCCTCTGAAATACCCCCGATACCTTCCTTTCTCTCTTCTTCCCTCTTTCTGTCTTTCTATCCAGACGGTGGTGATCTTGAAGATGACCCATCGTGTTCTTGGCCAGCATCATCTCCTTCCAGTAAGGATCAGGCTTCTCCAGGACACTGCGAGGACTACGATTTTGGCGAGGACGAAGGGGGCCCTGGCCTGCCATACCCATGCCAGTTCTGTGACAAGTCCTTCAGCCGCTTAAGCTTCCTCAAGCGCCACGAACAGAGCCACGGGGATAAACTCCCTTTCAACTGTACCTTTTGCAGTCGCTTGTTTAAGCACAAGCGCAGTCGAGATCGGCACGTGAAGCTACACACCGGTGATAAGAAGTACCACTGTGGAGAGTGTGACTCTGCCTTTTCCCGCAGTGATCACCTCAAAATCCACATGAAAACTCACGCCTCTAACAAACCCCACAAGTGCCCTGTGTGCCGCCGAGGCTTCCTTTCCTCCAGCTCTCTCCATGGCCACATGCAAGTACACGAAAGGGGCAAAGACGGCAGCAGTTCAAGCCTTTCTAGAGCTGATGAATGGAAGCTGAAAGAAACTCGCAAATGCAGCCGTTGTGAGGAGGGCTTCGATGTCCCCGAGGAGCTCCAGAGGCACATCGCGGAGTGCCACCCTGAGTGCTCTCCATCAGAGGATGGAGGCCTGGGTGCCACCCTGCAGTGCATTTACTGCCATGAGCCCTTCAGTGATGAGGGAACCCTGCTGACCCACATTGACCAGGCCCACAGCCGAGACAGGAAGGGCCACTCCTGTGCTATCTGCTCTGAGCACTTTCTGTCTGTCGAGGACCTCTATGCTCACATGGACATCCACCAGCTCCCCGAATCTAGTAACCATAGCAACAGCCCTTCTTTGCTGACCGTGGGCTACACCTCTGTCTCTAGCACCACTCCTGACTCCAACCTCTCTGTCGACAGCTCCACAATGGTGGAGACGGCGCCACCTGTGCCCAAGACAAGGGGGAGGAGAAAGAGGGCGGCTCAAAACACATTGGATATGGGAGGACGTTCCTCCAAACAGCCTAAAGTCTCCTACAGTTGCATCTACTGCAACAAGCATGTGTTCTCTAGTTTGGCTGTGCTTCAAATTCACCTGCGAACCATGCATCTGGACAAGCCAGAGCAGGCTCATACTTGTCAGTTTTGTTTGGAGGTTCTGCCCTCTTTACTAAATCTAAATGAACATCTTAAGCAGGTCCACAATGCAGAAGACCATGCTGCACTGTTAGCCAGCTTGCCTGATGCCCTCCTTCAGTGTAACTTCTGCCCTGAGGTAATGAATGACCTCAATGGCTTACAGGAACACATTCGCTGCTCCCATGGCTTTCCCAGTCCTGTGGCAAAGGAGAGCAATGCCTTCTTCTGCCCCCAATGCTTCATGGGGTTCTTGACGGAGACTACCTTGGAGGAGCATGTTCGTCAGACTCACTGTGATGGGGGAAGCCTGCGCTTTGACTCCCCCCTGGCTGTAACTCCCAAGGAGTCTATAGTAGAGGTGTACTCCTGTTCATACTGCACCAATTCCCCAATATTCAACAGTGTTCTGAAGCTCAACAAGCACATCAAGGAGAATCACAAGAACATTCCACTGGCACTGAACTACATCAACAATGGAAAGAAATCCCTGCACACTCTCAGCCCCTCTTCACCAATATCTGTGGAACAAACCATGCTTAAACCAGGAGGCTCAGCCTCACGTTCTACCGGTGAGTTCATATGTAACCAGTGTGGAGCCAAGTATACCAGTCTAGACCTTTTCCAGACGCACCTAAAAACTCATCTGGATGGCATGCAGCCTCAACTCACCTGCCCACAGTGCAACAAAGAGTTCCCCAACCAGGAGTCCCTATTGAAGCATGTGACGATTCACTTCACTATTACCTCCACGTATTACATCTGTGAGAGCTGTGACAAGCAGTTCACTTCAGTGGATGACCTACAGAAGCACCTACTCGACATGCACACCTTTGTGTTCTTTCGTTGCACTTTGTGTCAGGAGGTGTTTGACTCAAAGGTGTCTACTCAGCTCCACCTGGCCGTAAAGCACAGCAATGAGAAAAAGGTGTATCGCTGCACCTCCTGCAACTGGGACTTCAGGCATGAGACTGACCTACAGCTACATGTCAAACACAGCCATCTGGAAAACCAGGGCCGTGCCCACCGCTGTATTTTTTGTGGGGAGTCCTTCGGCACAGAGGTGGAGCTGCAGTGCCACATCACTACCCACAGCAAGAAGTTTAACTGCCGCTTCTGCAGTAAGGCCTTCCATGCCATTGTCCTTTTGGAGAAGCATTTGAGGGAGAAACACTGTGTGTTTGAGGGAAAGGCACAGAACTGTGGTGCTAATGGTTCTACTGGAAGTGGTGTGGATGGCCAGCCTAAAGAAGATGCTGAGCTACATGGTCTCCTAACCAACAGCCATGGTTCAGTGGTAGCAGTAGGATCCGTGGTGGAGCCGCATAACAACCATGATGGAAGTGAGGAAGAGGTGGACACTGCAGATCCCTTGTTTGGGTGCGACATCTGTGGGGCATCTTACACCATGGATTCACTCCTCACTAACCACCAGTTGAGGGACCACAATATACGCCCTGGTGAGAGCGCCTTGATGAAAAGGAAAGCTGACATGATAAAGGGCACCCACAAGTGCAATGTCTGCTCCCGCACCTTCTTCTCTGAGCCTGGGCTGAGGGAACATATGCAGACCCACCTTGGGCCTGTCAAACACTATATGTGCCCCATCTGTGGGGAGAGGTTCCCTTCCTTGCTCACCCTTACTGAGCACAAGGTCACCCATAGCAAGAGTCTGGACACTGGCAGCTGCCGCATTTGTAAGATGCCACTGCATAGTGAGGACGACTTCCTGGAGCATTGCCAGATGCACCCTGACCTGAGGAACTCCCTGACAGGTTTCCGCTGTGTGGTGTGCATGCAGACAGTGACCTCTACATTGGAGCTCAAGATCCATGGTACCTTCCACATGCAAAAGACAGGCACTATGTCCGGCAACCACCAACCCGTGGGCCGCAGCAATATCATCTCTCATCACCAGCAGCAACACCATATCCAAAAACCTTTCAAGTGCGCCTCTTGCCTGAAGGATTTCCGGTCCAAGCAAGACCTGGTGAAGCTGGACATCAACGGACTGCCTTACGGACTCTGTGCATACTGCGTAACAGCAGCTGGCTCCAAGAGCTCCAGTCCAACGATGAACGGAGGAAGGCAACAGCAGCAGCATGGTGGAGCCACCACCCCAGCAACAACTACAGCCGCATGGATCCAGGCGGAGAGGCTCAGCCCTGGAGATGGGAAAGGCAAAACTGTCTCTTCGTCATCTTCATCCTCTTCTACATCCTCATTATCTGCTGCCAAGACACGATGTACCAGCTGTAATGTGAAGTTTGAGTCTGAGGCAGAGTTGCAAAACCATGTCCAGACAGTGCATCGGGAACAGGCTGGGGACAGCAACGGCGGGCAGCTCAAGACCCCACAGGTGTCCCCCATGCCCAGAGCCAGTCCCTCGCAAACTGAAGAGGTATTGTTATTTAGTATTGGATTGAATTAAGTTGACAAGTTAATTAAAACATGCTGACATTCACAATGTGTTTTGTATTGCTATGTTGTTTATAATCCCTTTCCTTTTGGTCTTATTTTCAGAAGAAGACCTACCAGTGCATCAAATGTCAGATGGTGTTCTACAGTGAATGGGACATCCAAGTCCATGTGGCCAACCACATGCTGGGTAGGAGATAACTCTTTTTTTCATTCATTATGGTCTCTGTTGCACTTCTGGAACAAAGTCACTAAAGCAGTCCTTGTGTAATATCTTTGTAGATATGTTTCTCTACGTTGTAGCATACAATAAATCAATTTGGCTTTTAGGTGTGCGATTTAAATGTTAGCGTGAATGATTAATTTTTGTGACCATCATCGATACAATATGCAAACCATTAACGGAAAATTCCCCTAATTTCACAAGTATTTGATCATTTTGAAAAGATTTCATACTTTTTCATACTTTTTTAAAAAGGTGAATCACAATCTCAGGACTGATGTGATATATGTAATAAAATATTTGACCCTGTCTCATTCAGGCTCACAAGTATCTGGATCACATCACCAAATAGGTGGAATTATTTTAATATTTTGACCATCAACTGCATCCCCAGTGTTGTGCATTTATAAACCCATCACCTTCATTTCCCCATGCATGTGAATGGTATAAAATAGTACGTGTGCATGCTTGTGGAGCAGAATCTCTCCACTTCAAACCACTCTATATGGAGGTCATTTGAAGTAGTGGAAATAAACAGATTATTGAAATATTAAAAATACCAAAACAGATTTTATTCAAACTGTTTAAAATTCCAACTATTATTCCACAGTTTTTGAAAAATCTCCACATTGCTACTGTACATTATTTTGTTTGTTTGTTTATCGTGCCTTTTCACTTAAGTAGTCTGTTCAGATGACTGAGATCTGAATACAACATTTGGTAAAATACTTTCATACATTTAATGACGTCAAATCAACTGAAAAAATGGATATTTAATTTGATCACATTGTGTTTCACAAAATTATTCCAAATTTCTGATTTTCTTTGACAAGATTCTTAAACAAAGAGTGCTGGTGTAAGACTAACCTCCACATTTTCAAAACGTCTTCACTTTCGGTTGTCATTTGTATGCAGGCAGAATAATTTGTAGAGAACAGACAATTGGAAAACAGGTTTTCTTGCCTGCAGTAAGTAAGCGTCTGAATTCCAGTCTCACGTTCCTTTATTCATTCATTTATTCAGCTCGTTTGGCGGCTCTTTCATTACACTGCATTATCTGTTGTCTTCACTGGGAGAGAGACTCATTGATCTGGAACCAAACCGCCTCTCTGTTTGGGACACGCTTCTAGGCGCAGGTGAATTTAAACACGGTGGGCAATTCTATCAGGACCGGCAGGAAATTCTATCAGGGACCCACTGTTTGTGCATAAACAATCAGAAGCATGTGATTTGTGATTTTGATGCTTCGGTGTATTTGCAAAGGAGAGAGACGAGCTGAGAGTGTGTAGGTGTGTATTTTGTATTCATCTTTGCGATCTGCTCACCCACTATTCTACTGGGGGTGCCTAATACAGTACCATGCCAGCATTAGTCCTTTCTCTCGCAAAGGCAGGCACGGAGCACACTGTGAGGGTAGAAAACAAACCCCCCTACTGGTTATTTTATGTCTGTCAGCCGTACAAGCACACAGTTTCCCCATAATAGTGGAATTGAGACAGCTTAAGATAACAGGAGGATAGGTGATTGGGTTATTGTCTGATGTCTTACTTCTCTGATATGCCATTGCTTTGTATTCAACATGATCACAGGTTTCATCAGACTCCTCAAAAGGGTTTCTGTTACATTCATTTGTTTTCGGGATCTCTAAAATGCGGAGAAAACAAAACTCATCGTGATGAAAATTTGGTAGAAAGATGAGGTGGTCAAGGAGTGGCTGCATTTTGCAAAACAAAGAAACTAAAATGGAACCGAATTGAATAAAGAAAATACATTTGACTGAAGAGGCGTATGGAAAAACTTTTGCATCAAGGTTAGTCGTAACAACACTAACGGTGATCTCTTGGTTTTATACAGCTTCTGAAGAATTGGTCACTTTTTAACAAGTAGAATGGGGTTAAATTCAATCCAGCCTGTAATCACCTCAAAGCCAATTTGGGCCAAAAACACAGGAAAAAAAATAGTCATTAGGAAAAGCTCTAAATACCTTCTCTACTGAAAAGGGGACACTTTCTCCTTTTAATGGCCATCTGCACAGGAGAGGGGAAACAGGGGGCTGGGGTCATCTCCGCTCAGCTGTCAGCGTTATTAGCGTAGGTAATGGAGCAGACGCTGGATTCATAGGGGTGTTGTTTTCATCCGTGCCCCGCTCCATGGTGTCCGTTCACACTGATAACTCTATATATAGTGATGTGCCGTGACATAACCATAGTGCTAAGTGTATGGAACAACAAAACCTGAGCCTGTCTCACCCAGACAAGTCCATATTAGCTGCCTTTGTAATACAATAGTCTCCCTAAACCAAGTGCACTCCTCCGCCCTCCACCTCCTCTCATCGGTCCGAGGTGCTCGTGGCTGCCTCTTCTGTACGACTGCCAGCACATTTTGATGCGTGGACATTACACTCAGACGACGGCGGTCCTGCTTCACACTTAAAGCACAGCTCTGGTGCCCAGCTACTCAACATTTACTATGATAATAGAGGTAAATGAAAGAGAAGGGGGTGGCCATGGGTGCAGAGGGGTGTGTGGCAGAACAGCCCCAGCCAAGCCTGTGAACGGCCCCACGTGTTTTAAGATGGAGGCCGCAGCCTGCTAGGGCCCAGATGGATCAGTACACATTTGCTGTACAGCTGGCCGCTCTGTTTGGGGACCTGGTGTGATACTCCTATGGAGAAAAAAATGATATCGCCACCATCCAAGGAGCAATTTAATAGCAGGCCAGAAGACAGCTGGCCACTCTTTAGTTTAGAGTTTTTTTGGCATGGCTCACTTACAGAATTGAGGGTGTCCGATTTTTCTCTAGAGACACACAGATTTATACAGCTTTCAGCTGCTGCAGTCACTATCAAACCTTTTTATTTCTATTTTTTTTTTTTCTTGAGATTAAAAAACAAATCTGTCCTGCAGTTCAATTTGCCATCTTGATCTGTAGTAATTGCATTGGACAGAAATGTTTAAAATCACAGCGCTTTCACAAAGTCGTCCCTTTTCTTTTCTTTTTTTTTTAAGAGGACCTTTGAAGGTCTTTCATTGACACAAAAGCCTGTTTGGTTTTTATCAGCATGCCATCATACTACCCCATTGCTTCACTTTGACCCCACTGTAAACTATGACATTTGGAGCCTCATGGGGGGGGGGGGGTACGTTTGGCCCATTTATCGCACTGTTTCAAATGTCCCTGTGTGGATTTTCAGAGCACATGTTTTAGAAGCACAGGCTCTGTCTTAAAGGGTTTTAAAGGTGAAAAGGGTTTTTGCTTTCCTGTTATATCTGCTTTCAATTCAATTGTCATCTCACTCCTGTCTGCTCCAAGCAGCTACTGCCAAGGTGGCAGCGCTCCGAAGGACAACTGTAAACAAACAAACCAAACCTCATCCCAGAAAAGTGTTTTTGGGGTCACCTCTACGGATTTTTTTTGGGTCGGTGACAGCGCTGAGCTCCAAGCCAAGTCAGGGAGGAGCCTTCTCTCGCAGAGAGGAGCCGGTGGCCTGGTCGGCCCAGGCAGAGGGGGGCACTGGAGGGGTGGAAAGGTTCGGGGGCGGAGAGGGGAAAGGCACATTTGCTGTACAGCTGGCCGCTCTGTGTGAAGCAGGCACTGTGGGCCGTCACGGAGCTGGAGAGGAGAGCGAGAGAGAGGCCTTTAGCTCTCCTCTAGTTTCTCCTCCTCCTCTCTGTTCTCTCATTCTCCTTCCCCCCCCCCCCCCTCTCTCAGGCCGCTATCTCTCCATTTTCCCCTGCCTCACTATCTAGCTCTTACACTTTCATATTTACTGCGCTCCAACCTGGCAAAGCACACTGCGTTGGCTGTCAGTGGGGCAACAGACAGGAGGCACACTGTAACAGTATTTGAAGCTGGAAGGCTTGTTTTTTTTGCTAAAGGCCGCAAATTATCCTTGACACGTATCCTCTTGTCTTGGGCCCCGAGAGCAACTTGACCTGTGTGTTTTGATTACATGGTCTCCATCACTGTCTCTGCCCTGGTGGCGACACATTTACTACTCCATTAAGTGTTTCTTTTTTTTTCGTCCTTGTGCATAAACAGAATTTGGTATTTTCATTCTTTTATTTCTTTTCTTTTTTTCTGTAATCCTCTTTGATTAGTAGTGTCTGTTGGTGTTCCCTCAATCATAGAGAAACACACACACATGTAATCTGCTAACAAACATGGCCAAACACTCCTCATTTGACTCCTAGGGGGTTGGATCAGAGTCAGAACTCAATAGACAACACGGCACAGGAACAGGATCAATCTTATGAAATAAATAAGAGAACAGGCTTGTACCAGCCAGTGGAAACAAAGGAAACCATGCGTGCCATATAGTGAGTGTGATATCTGCCTGCTTTTATTAATTGGTGATTAATAACGCCTCTCTGTTCGTTAGCGCAGTCACCTCCCGTGCAGCCAAGTGTGTTGCTGCTAATATGCAATTATGCGCACCTTACTGCTCGTTACATTATACCTCTCCCTGACTAATGTGGCGTCCATGAGGAGAATAGAAAACGGGAGTGAGCTGCAAAAAAAAAAAAAAAAAAAAAAACATCAATAAAATTCTCACATTCACTGTGTTACCTACCTGTCTGGGTGGAAAAAACAACGTTTCTTACAAATTCCTCAATGCGACCAGGAGACTGCATTAAAAGTTTTACAGCATTGCAGAGACTGTTTTGCTCTTCCTGGTGTTTTTTGTTGTAAAGCAGAGGTAATTGACATCACCATGGGGGATGCTCTGTTGCTAGGCCAGACAAGCTCAGGCTGATGTGGTCCTTATCTATTGATTTTCCTGACATTTCCCCCACACTTCACAGACTAGGCCAACATGTGAGAAAATATCTGATGCTCTCAGTTCATACGGCCTGTTTGTACAAACTCGGAGCGAACGCTCGCTGCCCCCTCGCTGCATTGCAATTGGAAGGTTGATGTCACCATGGCGATCCGGGGCAAATTCCTTCCCGTGATTGGTCGAACTGAGCTCATTTATTGAGCGAGTCGTCGTAAAACACGAATCCCACAAAATAATACAGATTTGTATAAATCCTACAATTCTATTTTTGTATTTTAAGACATCATCTTATGAATGTACTTTAAAAACAACAACTCGTATGCAAGTCTAGTTGGGGACCTGAATAAAGGTAGGCTCTTCCTGTGCTTCTGGCTATGTTTTATTGATATACAGGAGGGATGTCTCCTTTAGAGTGTTAATGCCAACCCTTGTTCTGAAGTGAAGCCCATAAATACTGGATGATCAGAATTAACCTCTGCATTACTCTACCTCCCAGTGGTCTCCGAGATGTCACCAAGGCCGTAGGTGCACGCGCACCCCTGGTCTGATGGGGTTGCTTAGCAGTCTGACTG